AAAAATCTCAGTGTGGACAACAGAATCACTAGCACAGAACCAGATTGTTCCCTGGTGAAACTCCTTTGACCTGAGCAGGTACAGCAGGGACAGATATGGCCCTTTAGTTTGGGCAGAGCATGCACCTAGCATAGGGAAGAGAAAGATGTACAAGCTGAATAAAGGCAACTGCTGAGAGGATACAGCCATGGAGATGTCAATGAGGATGCTGCGCAGATGAAGAAGAGATGGAAAATAATCATAGAATAAGGAAGATGCTGAACAGGTGAAGAGCAGACACTGATATGGAACAGATCGTGTCTCCCTAACCCCCCAGGGGACAGACAGAAAGGAGCTACTGGAAGACACATGTTGTACAGGTGCAGAGCAGATGCTGAACAGACCCACTAAGCAGAGTCGGGTGCAGATGCAGAGACCGGAACTGAACAGATCCAAACCCAGAGCAGACTGGAGATGCAGAACAGATGTAGCTGCAGATCATTTCTCTTGGCGACTACTTGGGGCTCCCCAGTGCTGGAAGACATTGGAGGGCATGCAGTTGTATCATGTAGTACAGCCTGGGAGATGCTGATTTATCGCCAGAAGTTCCTGGGTACTGTTTACCAGAGGAGAAGGGATGCAGTGCAGGCAGTCTCAGCATACTGTTGAGACTGCCAGGTTTATGTTAATCTTGACACATGATGAGTTGGAATATAGGTTACAATGTGGTAATGCAACAAATTTCACTTAATCTCTAGCAGACTGCACTCCATATGGTTAGATGATTAGCTCTCTTCTCAGGAGGCAGCAGGACTCAAAGAGCAGGGGAGTCTGCATGGCTGGACCAAAGGTCATTAGCTAACTATTATTGCAGTATTTATACACCGCTAAAGCACCATTAATGGTGCTCTGCATGCCTATGGGAAGATTAGATCTCTACCCCAAAGAGCTTACAGTCTGGTAAACACACTGAAAACAAACACAGTTTGGATGTGATAGAGGATTGGCTTGCACAACTGGGTAGCTGAAGGTCATGCAAGAAGAGTAGATTTGAGTCTGGGAAGGCAGAAGGAGAACTGTTGGGGCACAATGGAAGAGGGACCTCCTCTAAGTGGAGAAACAGTGAGACAAAATGGGGAGAGGCTGTAGGCCAGTAATGAGGTACACTGGCACAGCTGGGAGTGAGAAGAGGGCTCTGGATTAGCAAGGGATGCTGCAGACAAGGAGTGGGACGCTGAGAGGGGAAGCTTCCACAACTCTGGGCTCTATCTGCTGAATGCTTGCTAGTCTTCTGTTGTCATTAGCACTACTATTACGTAACTTTCCCCATCAATAGTCAGGATGCCCATGTGGTGCCAGAGTACCATATTCAAGAGACCAAGGTGCCTGTGAATGCCTAGGGGTGGGCAGCGCATCTCCCACTATCCAGAGGAAGAGACATCTTGGGAAGTACGTCACCATAGGACAGAGGATCAAAGTTGCTTGCTTGTGGTGGAAGCAGGCAGAGCCTACAGCAATCTGTGGAGTTTCACCTACCTACATCAGGGCTGAATTTGATCCTCTGTCTTCAAAAGTGGCTGGGATTCAACTTTCCCATGACTCTGTCATTCTGCCAGAAGGTGATCTCAGACTGCATTTTGAGCCAAAAGCCAGTCTCCTCTTGGAGGGAGGAGGAGAGCTTAATCCATCAAGGGATCCTGGGCTAATACAAACAAGTCTGAAATGCCTGCACGTGCGTGCGTGCGCGCACACACACACCTGTTCTAATGCTACATCAGCCAGACAAACTCACTGGCTTAAATAAGGAGCTAAAAAATGAGGATAGCTGAGGAGCTAAGGGGGCAGCAGGGAGAGGCTGGCTGTTCTAGGAAAGCGTATGAAGATGTTCAGGAGCAGACTCCTCCTGTGTGCATGGTGAGGGAATGGTCTTTCTCCTGTGCTTCCTGTGGCCATTGCCCAAGGTAAACACACCTGAGAGGGAAGGTCTCCCTTTTTTAAGAGAGCAGGGCATTCTGCCGCAGGCAGTCACCAAGGCCCCCAGTGTAGTGTCCCTGGGGTGAACAGTAGAAACCATTTTCATCCTTTCCCCAGCCTTGCATGCCGTAGTGGGTGCATGGAGAGCCGGTGGGCATCAATGGCTTGAAAGTCTCCTGATTTTGTTTCCAGAGGGCCAGTGATGCTACTACAGTCCTGTCCCCATGCCTGGCTACCTATACCATCCACTCCGATAGACCTGAGGTAGCAGTGCCAGACCACTTTCATCCTTTTACCTGTGGCCAACCTGTACTCTGAGGTATGCTCCACCATTAACAGGTGGTGTCAGTGACTGACAGGGCTGCTTTGTCACCTGCATCCAACTTCTGAGGTAAATGGCTTATTCCAGAAAATGCCTCCAGAAAGATACAGCCAGAGAGACCTAAAGATGCCTGGGGACAGCATGTGAGGAGCAAATGGCAGAAGCCTGAAGCAGTCTCCCCGTCAGAGGTGCAGATGGGTTGGGTACAGCCTGTAGGCCACCTGGATCTCCTCGCCTCCTATTCTGTGCTGTACAGGCAGGCATGAGTAGGACAGGCCACGGTGCTGGGAAGCAGCAGGAGCCAAAGCTCTCCGAAGACAAAGGTGTGTTTTGGAGGCTCGGAGGTAGGGAGAGTCTGATATCCATGAAAGAGGAGAGAGGTTACCTCATTTCCACCCCCCACCCCTCCCCTGCAGCACATTTAAGCAGAGAAAATCCTACAAGAACCAATCTTAAAAGACGAGTAACACTTTTCTAGTCACTCTTGGCCCTCCACTTCAGGCCTCTAAGGTCTTCCGAGATGCACAGAAACTCAGTCACATCTGGTTTCCAATCAGTGGCTGGATTTGGGCTCAAAGTGTGGGCGTGGAATCTGGCTTTTGCTTGGTCTCAGGTTGGTGAAAAGAGGCCATTATTGAAAGCAGCCTGGGAAATGGTGCTGTTCTACCAATCCACTGCCTTTACTTGCAAGGGGTACCATGTAAAGCTTTTGTGAGAGCTAGTGGAACCACGTAGCTTTGGTATACAAACAACACCCAGCTCTGCCTCTCTTTTACCTCAGACATGCACAGCACCATCTCCAGTTCTCTCAGGTAGAAACTTCATTAAATGCTGAACCCAGACTTGATCAAGGGGATGGTGACAGAGGGGAGAAGAGGATGTTTCCTGGGTGGCATCCCCTGATATTGAAGACATCCGTCTGCTCTCAGACTGATCAGTCAGTCTATAGCCTGTGGGCTCCTCAGTGCTAATGGAAACCCAAATAGCCATAAGGACAAACAACCACTTTAATAGTGACTGGCCAAGAGCCTACACCCTGATCTTCAGGGTCAGTTACTGCAAATTGTCATGGCAACAAATGAAGCACCCCAGAAAAACTCTAGCTGGTAGAAGACACAACAGCTTATCTACTTAGGAGGGTCCATGAGAGTCCATTGTGCTGGGGCTCCATTTTGCAAGGGTGTCCAATAAAGTCCAGTCTGTAATCTCTGTCTTGATAGTCAAGTGCCTCCATAGGATTGTCTCACTCCATGAGAGGTTGCCTCTCCTCCTGCAGCCATGACCTCCATCAACAGCCATATCCCACCAGAGCAATGAAACAAGCAACTAGCTGGGGAGTCCCACAGGTGCAGGAGATGGTGCTTACATAGGAGCTGGACCCATGTATTGGAGCTCGCTACCACAAGAGATGAGACTTGAGCCCAGACCTCATCACACTCCAGAGTTAAATGCAGAACTTGGTTGCCTAGCTCAGCTTCTCCTGCACTGGCCCTTACATGCACAGCACATGTACACTAGATGCTACTGTAAATTAAATTAACCAAACCAACAGGCTGGGAAGGGAAGAGGCAGATTGTTCTTTCTACTGGAAACTGCTTGCAAGATTTCAGCTGGGATGGCGATAAGCAGCTAGATAGACAGACAGATAGGCAGAAGGGGATGTGATGACTGTGGGAAAAATAAGTGGTATAACAACTGGCCAAGGGTTTGTCTTTCTTTAGTACTCTTTTGCCAAGGATTTTAAGGTGCTTCATACACGCACGTTGACTAAGACTTACACGTGCCCCCTGGGAGCACATGCAGTCAAGGCCTTGACTTCCTGTCTCATGAGAAATGTGACACCTTTCCATAGAGGAGACTGAGGGTGTAGGCACACATTCACTTGCAACAGTTGCAAATCATTGGAATGCAGTAATGCAGGGACTGTCAACTGGGGATATGGGTGAAAAGTCCCAGCGGGTATGCGGGGGCGCGTGGAGACAGAGCACCACCACACCGCACTGCCACCTCACAGGAGCAGGGCCGGGTGAGAACAGGGCTTCACAGATGCTGCATCTCCAGGTGCCAGAGTGAGGCAGGGAAGCTGGTTTGGAAAATAGCAAAAGCTGTTGTGAACCCAGGAAGAAAGGGAAGTGTGAACTTAGGCAGCTGTATGAACGGGGGAGGGAGTGGGGGGGATGGAACAGTTCTACAAGCATCAGCCGGAGGAGGAATCAGGCTGAGAAAACTGTGTCCAGGTGAGGTGAGACTGCTTCCTATGGGGTCTCTCTTCTGTCTCAGACCTTCTCTTTCTGCTGTTTATCTGACAACTGGGTGGTGTTCTCAGCAGGCTTATTTCCAGGTTGAGTTTCATTGTTATTTCCTACCTAAGTATCTAATTTCTTCAGGGCCCTTTGGATTGCTCTTCTGTCTTGTGACTCCCATGTTGACTGGACCTGCCCTGAACAGTTAGCTGACTTGGATTTAAAGGTGCTGGTGGCAGATCCAGTTGGGCTTTTCAGCTTTGGAACAGGGAGAGGGAGGAAAATTTGTGTTATTCCCTTCCCTCCTGCCAGGACATTCATACTTCAGTTCAAAAGTGGTGGGACGTCTGAAGGGCACACTCTGTTCTGAATGCCCCTCACCAGTTTTGTGCAAGTTATGGACCGGGCTTTGTTTCTCTGTCCCATGCCAGGTGCCCCTGTTCTGGCCCTTGCTCTTCAGTCTCTCTCTCCTTGTCTCGTAGATGAGTTGGGCATCTGCCCCAAGGGTGTCACCTCCAACGTGTTTCGCTTCAACGTGTCGTCAGCAGAGAAGAACAGCACTAACCTGTTCCGGGCCGAGTTCCGGGTCCTGCGAGTGCCCAACCTAAGCTCCAAACGCGCTGAACAGCGCATTGAGCTCTTCCAGGTGAGAGCCCTCGTGAACCTCTGAGCACAGTGGGGCAGACTGCAAAAGTAGCTCGGCTGTGAATCCTCAGTGAAAACCTCAAGCAGGGTGGGCAAGAGCATGGAGGAAAACCCTTTTTTAGTTTTCTTTCTACCCTGTTTGAAGCAGGCAGCCAGCCAGCCTTGCCTTACCTTTTCATGCCCTTCTCCTCAGGGTTTCTGTCCCCTTTGGGATCCTGCCCGGTTTCTTGCTACCTTCTTTCTGACACTCTGAGCATCCCGCTATGGCGCTGCCTCCTCAGAGGCGCCTTGCTGCCATTATGATGAGGGAGTCGGAGAGGGGAGCCTCTAGTTACCAGGGAAGTGCCATCAGAGGGACCCCTGCTTCCGTAAGCTTTGGCTCCCCTTGGGGCATGTCTTGCCTGTGTGAGTGACATGGCAGATAGTGGTATGCCAAGGAGAGGACTCTTCTGTCCAGGTCATACATAACCTGTTTCCTCTTCTTAGCAATGAAAGGGTGATTGGGAGAGACAGGGAGAGGCATACAGGAAAAACTTACAGAAGGACATGGTAGAACAGAGAGGCAAAGATTTGCTGGGAGTTCCAAGTAACAACAGACCAACCTCACCTGCTTGTAGGTCCCTTCACTGAATAGCTAATCTGGCCTCTTTCCTGGGCTTTGCTCCCATCTACACAGAATAACCTCTGGTCTGAGTCTGGAGGTACTGTAAGCCTCAACTGGCTTACCCAACAGAGGTATCAATTAGAACAGTGATTCTCAACTAGTGTGCCATGGCATTTTTGAGGTCCTTTCAAGGATGCTGTGAGGTTCCATACAATGTTAGCACTTTTAGGTTTACAAACATGATTCACAAGATAAACCCAGACATTTCAAATAGAAATCCATAGTTGTGGCCTGAATTCTGTACAACAAAGACTGCTGTATTGTTTTTCTGCAGTTAAAAAAAAAAAGAATGAAAACAAAGAGCTGGTATTTCCAAGGGGAGCCTCAAGTCTGAAAAGGTTGAGAACCATGGAATTAGAACCTGGTCTCCAGTATAAAACAGGCAGGCTTGAACCTGCAAATTTCATAGGATGTGGGCAATAATCATGCAGTGCTGATCATCCTCCAGTACCTTCCCATGATTCCCCTCAACGATCAGAGAAGTTCTCCCTATTGATGCAACTGATAGGGAAAGAGTCTGAGAGTGTATAAGCACAGAGGAACTGTAGAATATGATCCCCTGGAACTCAGTGCCCTTTGGAATGAGCTTTGGCTCTGCCAAGAGAGATGCTCTGAGGACTGGTTTATGGTTTTGCAATGGGACTCGGGGAGAAAGTTTCAAATGTGAGGTTTCCACTATACCCTGCTGTGCTGTGTTTGGGGGTAGCTGAGACAGGCCTTGAACCTAGGGTGGGGTGGGGATGGGCATAGGTCTCATAAGGTTAGGAATCCAATTAAATATGCATTTAAACCCCTGCCATCAGCTGGGTTCCAGTGCTGAACACTTTGCCACAGGACTGGTGGGCCTGCCAGGTTAGGGGACCCAGGATGGTGAGACCCCCCATCCTGTCTCAGTGCTGGTTCTGCCCACAAGCCCTGGTCCCCTTTCTGGGGACTTGGAAAACAAAATCGCCCATTAACCTGCAGTCAGGATTCCAGTGTGCTACTTCCCTCTACAGTTACAGCCTACCCCCAGGATACAGCAGGAGGAGGTTTTCAGGTTCCTACGTGCAGGACACATGGAGGTCTCCAGAGGTTGGCTTGGTGCCTGAAGAGTCTGTAGCCCTCTTACCTTTACTAGGTTGTTCATTCAGGAAAGATGAATCCGATCCTAGTGTCTCCCTCTCTGGATTCTCCCCCCTGGCTTAGTTGGTAACAAACCTCCTGAAGTGGGGAGACAAGATAGGTATGAGGTCCCCACTCCTTTGCAAACTTACTCCTGTTTTACCTTCTCCCAATACAGATCCTCCGGCCCGACGAGCACATAGCGAAGCAGCGCTACCTCAGTGGCAGGAATGTGCAGACACGGGGCTCACCAGAGTGGCTGTCCTTTGATGTTACTGAGACTGTGCGCGAGTGGCTTCTGCACAGAGGGAGGAGTTTTGCTGTTTTGTTTGGGCTGTGTGGAGTGTCTGGTTAGTTCAGGCAGTTGCTCCTTCAGAAGGAGCTAATGAATGCAGGGCTAATGAATCCCCATCACCATCTCCCAGTAGCAAAGTGCACTTCCCCCATTTTGGGGAACTGAGGGTCCCACTAAAAGCAGTTCTTCCCAGTTTGAGAATAAGGCTGCCTCACTCTATGTAGGGTACTTCCTCTATTAGATATCTACCTTGGAGTTCCCACTTTCTCCATCTGTACAGGACTCAAAATCCACTTGGTATTTTCATTTAGAGATGGATCTTATTTTCTTTTTGCTACTGAAAATTCTTTGATTGATAAGTTATCAAGTCTGATTTGTATATCATAGGCTCTAAGACTTTCCTGAATGAACCAGAGCATATGCTTTAGAGAAAAATATTTTTTGAACTCTAGTGTGACCACAGATCTTGATTCTCTTGTCTGTCTGTAGCATTGTAAAGGTGAGGAAATACAAGAGACTTTCTGACATATCTAGGCAAATTGAGACTTTAGTGGCACAGCATACAAACAGCAGTGACTGAGAAAAAAGCAATAGTTTTGTCTCTGCAACCACTTGGCAGTGCCAGCAGTTATGGGACAGCTCCCAGCAGGAACACTGACATAATTCACAACTAGAACATGGGGACTGTAAGTCACAGCTAGATTGCCTTCCCAGATAGAAGCTAGGTGTCACTAAAAACTGGAATGCAGGCACTTGGCATAAAGCCAGTCCCTGAAAGGATGAGCTGGGATCTTGTGGGCTCCTTCTATTTTAGAGACATTCAATTTTATGTCCTTATGGCCCAAGTTCAGAGCCTGAATTGCAGTTAGCTTCAGACAGTAACGCTGGCTGACAGATACCATGATGTGGATAGTGTCTAGAAATCAAAGTGATGAGTACCTTACTAACACAGCAGAGAGCCAGATGTTTCTACCCATCCACACAAGATGGAAAAAGAGCTTCTGTCACTTTATCTCGATCCATTATGAAAACTGCTTTCACGACCACACTGCATGACTGTTCTCAGGATGTTATTGTGGATATAAAAACAGACTCAGGGCAGTCTGTGTGACTTAACCCAAAGATCAGCAGAAACAGGAAGCTACAGCCAATAGGTAGAATACCCCTAGTGAAACAATTACTCATGTTGAGCTTACTTGCTTTCAGGTCTCTGCCACAGATACAACCTAGAGACCAGGTAGTGGAAAATCACCATTATTTAACACTGACACAAAGGGCCAGGTTTTTAAAAGTTCTCAGCTTCCGACAGCCTTCATACAGGACAACAGATATTGTTGGATGCTGAGTATTTTGGAAAATAATCTACAGATTAGGAACTAAAGGAGAGTCTGAATTCTCTGGGATTCCCTTGAACTGGCCAACAACAAGTAAAGAATGTGTTTCTCATGGAGTCTCATCTCCTCCTCTACAGAGTCCAATCTGGGTCTGGAGATCAGCATCCACTGTCCATGCCACACTTTTCAGCCCAATGGTGACATCCTGGAGAACCTGCATGAGGTGCTGGAGATCAAGTTCAAAGGTGACAAGGGGCAGGGGTTGGGGGGGACTTGATGGGAGAGGGGAGTATAGAGCTGCTGGAGAAGAAGAATCAAATTCAGGTGTTGCTCTGCATGTCTGAGTGATTTAAATGTACGCACAGTGGTGGTGCATTTGAATTTGCATGCTGACTTGTAGTGCATGCATTCTGCATGTAGGCTTGGAGTGCTTGCGTGTGCAGAGATGCGCGACTGCCCATGTCCATGCATTCAGGGAGATAATTCTGTATTTATTCTCTCTCTGGGATAAAAGGCTGGCTCTGATGCATTCTCAGTCTTCCAGTGTGCTTCTGCTTTTCACTCTGGTTTCCAGTTAGGGTGACTGAGACAAATCATGAGTCCTGCCTGAAGTGGCAGAGAGTCAGTGGCTTGGCTGGATAAAGAAGTAGGAACCTCCTGGCCTGCAGCCCTGGGCTGCTGCCACTGGCCCCCACAGACTCCATTTCTGAGGCTGTTCTGTGGAGTGCCAGTGATCTGACATCTTTAAACCATTCATCTTTCTGCTTGTCCTGGGACCAAGGCCAAGAATGAGTGGGGTGGATTAATGGCCCCACCAGCAGTTTGCAAATGGTAAAACAAATGGCCATGAGCCTTTTTCAAGCCAGCAGCAATCAAATTCACTGTGGAGAGTGAGGGGTCCAAGGGGATGGGGTGTGGGGCAGCCGGGAAAGAAGGCCCGGAGTGAATAAACATGGAGATTGAGTACTTCTCTTCAGTTCAGAAGTAGGAGTAGGAGCCAATGTTAAATACATTCCTCCAGACTGTTGAAAGACCTCCCTGCATCTTCACTCTCCACTTCTGCTCTGAGACAGACTTTTGAGGGCCATTTTCTCTCTGTAGGCATTGATAGCGAAGATGACTATGGACGTGGGGACCTGGGACGCCTGAAGAAGCAAAAGGACCTTCACAACCCCCACCTGATCTTGATGATGTTACCCCCACATCGACTGGAGAGCCCAGGTTTGGGAGGCCAGAGGAAGAGACGAGCCCTGGACACGAATTACTGCTTCCGGTAAGGGAAATAGGACCCTTCCCACTCCTGGAGTTAATCTGCCCTCTTATTCACAGAATGACAAGGCCCCGCTCCCATTTCTATGGCCATTTTTTTCTGCCATGCAGTAGGGTAAAGTCCTAGAAAGTTCCAGCGCATCAGAAACTCTTGGGATGTGAATGAGTGTGGTTCCTTGGGGCTCTCTTCTTTTGGACAGATCCGTGCTGGGCTAGCTTGGGATGCTGTTCCTCTGTCTCAGGACAAGGGCATAGCAGTATCCAGGAAATAGAGATGGACCCATATTGGCCTTGCTCTGGTGATCAAGTGGCTAGTCAGAGAGGAACCCACAGGGCCCTATGCTGTTCTCTTGGAGACCCATTCAAACTGTCCCTCTGAACGGAAACCTGCCACATCACTGACCAGGCAGGGTCTTGGGATGAACATTTTAGAGCCTGCAGAATAGGGTCCCTGTTCTTGAGCATTTTGGTTTGTTTCTAAGATGTAGCTTCTATTTAAAGGCATTTTCCTATGTACAGAGGCTCCTCTTTTCCCCTCCATTCTAATGTTATAAAAACCTTAGTCTGTCTGTCTGTCTGTCTGTCCATAACACTTTATTCACGCTCTGACTGGCTGTCTTGGCAGTCGATCAAAGTGCTCTAGATAGACAGGACAGATGGCAGAGCACTGCCATGACAGTGGGGACCAAAAGCATGGGGGTGCAGGGGCAGGCCAGCTGGCTTCCCCACTTGGAGGCAGAGGGGGACAGCGGGGACTAGAGCCCTGTCATAACAGAGGGGACAGAGCTGGGGAGTGAGGACAGCAGCGCTGGCCTCACCCCCCCGATCTGCTCCTTGGAGCCATGGGCCAGAACAGCCCCCCATCACCTCCCAACAAAAGCTGGTGGGAGAGAGGGGAGGGGGCAGTCACTGGTAGCGATGGCTGCCACCCTGTGTCTGCAGCCGCCGCCCTGTACCTGTGGCTGCCACTGGGCCTGCACCCATTGCTGCTGGGTCTGCAGCCACCACCAAACCCAGGCCCATGGGCACTGCCAGGCCCGCACGCAGGTGGGGCAGTGGTGGTATGGACGTTGCAGCAGCTGCAGGGGAGAGCAGCCCAGACCCAAAGCTGGTGGGGTGGGAGGGGAGGCCCCAGGCCCAAAGTGGCAGGCAGGGGGGCAGACGTGGGCCCAGCCCTGGAGCGGGGGGAGAACAGCTGAAGCGGCAGGGGTGGAAGTTGGGGGAGTGGACCCAGCCCCAAAGCAGGGGCAGGGGTGCTGCAGCTGAGGAGGGCAGGATGTGGGGGGAGGAAAGGAGGGGGAGCAGCCCTGGCCCCGAGCCCAAACTGGGTCAGGCCTGAAGGGGGTGGGGCCAGACTAGCACAGGGGAGGGGGGGAACAAGGGCACAGGGCCAAATGCTGTGCTCCGTCCCTGCACCCTGCCGCCCCCCGTCATTTTTGATGGGCAATTTGCTAGTATATGTCATAATGGTGGAGCCAGCTGGTGGTGGATATTGGGGACTACCATGTTTACAGACCTGCCCCTCTTGTGCTTTGCTATCTCTGTTTGTTATGTCCACAGAGAATGGAGCCCTAGCCATGCTTTCCCGGCAGGTGTTGGGCATGCTAGCACCTACTGGTCAAGAGACTGTATCCCTCAGACTGTGAATTCCCTAAGCCCTGGCGGGGGTGGGGTAGAGCAGAAAGTCTCCATTTCTCTGGTACTTGGATTCACTTTGTGCCAATGGTTTGTTTCAGGAACTTGGAGGAAAACTGCTGTGTCCGCCCTCTTTACATAGACTTCCGACAGGACCTGGGCTGGAAGTGGGTCCACGAGCCCAAGGGTTACTTTGCCAACTTTTGTTCGGGTCCCTGCCCATACCTCCGCAGTGCAGACACAACTCACAGCACGGTACGGCAGGTGGTTAA